GAAGGAGACGACAAAGAGGAGGAGGAGGAGGAGGAGGAGGAGAAGGGAATCAACCGAGCCACGAGGAGAGAATATCAGGCAGCTTTCAGACGACACAGGGACCCGTCGAATAACGAGACACACACGCCCGTGACGGTGTTCAAGCCCCGGAGTTTCGCAAGTATTTTCGCAACGCGGTGTGCCGCTTTCCCTCTGCGCCAGCGGGTATCGAAATATCAGGCTAAATTATGGTAGTCAGCCAGGAAGGCGTGCGACTCTCTTTGTCGAGCACAAATAGTCTCGCTTTGCCGCGGTTGCTATCTTTGCAGCGGAGAAATTGAAGATCTGCTTATCGCGATTTCACTCGGTCTATTAAAACGCGGGGATTTAAGATTGCTTGTTGACGATCTGTTTGCTTCCTCCCACCATCCGCCTCCGCTCCTGAGCATAGCGCAGTTGTTTATCGCGATTTTCTTGATCCCGTTGAGGGAGGTAAATTTAAAATCGGCCTGGGCTTCTTGAAATAGAGGAACTGAAGATTTCCTCGACGTGCTAAAATGTACGGGACTTTGAAATATTTCTTGTTTATTCTCTTGAAACAAACGAGCTGGAGATCTGTTTATTCGCGATTCGTTCGGTATATTAAAATACGGAAGTTCACGGAAGCTTATAATAATACGTTTCTTTTCACAAAATGGAGAAGTCCGTTCGTTCATCGCGACATGCTCGGAGAATTTGAAGTTGTTTATAATCGTCTGCCTGTTCTCCTTTCAGAGATAGAGACGTTAAGGATCTGTTTGTTGAACGATTTAATCAATCCATTAGCCAAATCGTACACTGCAAAGCGATTCGTTTCATCGCAAAAGAACTCCATTTATCGTTTTAATTAATGCACGATCGAGCGAACTCTTGAATCGCCACTTATTTAATCGCAAGCTTTTATTTTATGAATGAAAAAATAGCAGAAAGTGGAGAGAATCGACGAACCCTTATTACGTGAACTTCAATTATACAAATTGTCCGAAAAGCTCCGGTTGAATGAAGCTCCACCCGTGTTGGAAATGAAAAAATGAATACAGACAAATTACTTCGAGCCAAGGATAGCTTCACTCTTCTGATTCAACTTTTAGCTTTAGCTTTGCTCTCTTCCAGAAATGCAAGGCCCTTCAGAATAAAGAATAACAACACGTCGACAATTTCCAGCCGCGGCAATTTTATCAAGTGCATAGTTATCAAAATTTGGTATTAAAATTTCGACGAAAGGGGCTTTCAACTGAAAGAGGAAAGCGATACATTGTAATGAGAAGTTCGACGCGTATGAAATGCAATTTTTCCCGATATTTCAGGGCGAAGTTTAACACGTCAAACGCCTGGGCAGCGTGGCGAGCGCGTTCATTTGTCGATCGGAAGGGAAACGAAACTATCGAGAAACATGGAACGTACCGTCCACTTATGATCGGCAATTCGTACTCGAGGCCAACGATGATTTAATCGACACGTCCGCGCGATAAAGGAAAGCGCGGGACAAATCGAAAAAAAATGAACGCTGGCTCGTTACGATTGATTATGAGCTGGCCGTTCAACGAACGGGATAAATGTGCTCGATTCATCGCCGTATCCATTAAAACTCCATTTGCCGGCATCCTGGTTCGCGAACAAAAGCGATTCTTGCTCTCAGCGGTGGATCTCTTCGATTATATTGTTCCAAAGATTTTGCGTTGTATCTTTTAGTTAGCTAAAAGGAAATCATTTTCAATTCGTACGTATTGATGAATTTTTTTTCAAGTATTCTTTTAAGTGTATAGCAATTGAAGAGTTAAATAGTAAAAAAAATTTCATTTGTTTCTGAAACCAATAATTGTAGACATTTAAACAAATTCATATCTTTTACGAACGAAAGTTAGATAAAGAATAGTTTGATCTATTAATTCAAAATATTGTTAGACGTGCTATATTTCCGATATTTTATATATCTGCACGTGTTCGAATTTTTCGCATAAATATATAGAAATATATAAGTAAGATGTACACGTAAAACGTTTTGGAACAATATGAAAACAATCGTGAAAATATCGAATTTTTAGTTTTTAACGAAAAATTTTATTTTCGCTGGCAATGACGCAACTCGTTGCATCTTTGAATGAAATTTTACTCGCAGCTACCGAGCGATCGCAGGGAGTATATAACGTAAGATTTTTTTTTTTTTTTTATTAGGCAAACCAGAGGAGCGTTGTTTTGTAAGAACAAGCTCATTTCGCAGTATTTTTCAGTCTGAAGCGCTCGTGGCTTTAGTTAGTTTCCGGAGAATTCGTTTAGTCTTAAGGGAGCGTGTGTAACGCGAGCAGGGCCGAGTATTTCAGTGAAAATCTAGAGAGAACGTTGAGGGAATTAACCCACGAGGTGTGGTCGTGGGACTAACGAGAGAACTTGAATAATATTCTCTATAAGAAATTTCTCTCCCCGCGCGAGGAAAGCACCGACAGTGTGATATCGAGATGGAAATCTCGCGTGAATGTTTATTGCGAGTGACAGAGTTCTGAACGTTTGCGGGAACATGAACGAAGAATATTTGTAGAGAACAGCTGGAAGTAGGGTGCAGAGGAGGAGCTAGGTGCCCAAGGTTTCGGTTGAATGACCTACAGAATGTCTGAGTTCAGGTTGTACTTATTGTGTTTTACACACGAAAATACACGATATATGAAATATACAAAGTATCCAAGTATTTATCACGATGTTTGGAAGGTGAAACGTAATTTCTACGTAGATTTTGTTCGTTTAATCGTGATTATAAAAATATGGTGTTGCATTTAACATTGTTAAAAATATTATAGGTGCATGCGTATTGCATTGTATTATCATTATGTATTATGTAATATTATAAATATTGTATAGAAAAATAGCCACGTAAAATGAAAAACGATATTTCATACAATGCGAATGATGACATATTGTTTTGATCAAAATTCCACTTATACTCATATATATATACGTATATACACACCCACCAGAGATATACGTAGTCCACGGATACAGAGAACGCTACACCTTCATCCCATTAAAGATCGTCAGCAGATAAACCCCGCGACAAATCAAACACGTAGGTACAAGCGTCCATTCCAAAATTTCGTCACGAATTCATCGTTCACTAATCCCTAAGACATACAATTCCGAACACGTTGCGTAGCGGAAGCGCCTCGTCGTAATCGCGACTGACCACCCCGACGTACGAGGGCCGGCCAGCCGTCTCATCCATACACATACCGTCGTTATTGGCGCGTGCACACGCGCGTAATAGTAATTTAAGGCGACTGGCACGAGAAGGCCTGTTCCTCGTAATTTCATCGACGCCGGTAAATCGCTTTACCGGGCATGATGTATTTTGACGAGCTAATGGATATCACGCGCAGATTATCATGCTAAAGAGACGTTAATTAACACGTCGCCCCCGTTGTAACGGCCGCTTACACTGGCCTGGGCCGGCTCGGGCTGCAGATACACGTTCACGACAACGACGTCGACGACAAGGAAACGAGCACAGAGGGGAATCAGAGACGATCGTTCGGCCGTTTGGCAATCCAAATGGTGGACGGCCTGGGGGCCTATCGAGGGAGAGGGGGAGGGACAGGGGGACGAGGTTTCCGCATGATACGCGCAGATTTTCCCCTGTTCAAAAGAATGGAATTACGCGATGGTGGTGCCAACCCTTTTGTTCCCAACCCCTTCCCTATCCTTTCTACAGTCGGTCCTTTCCCTCCTTCCTTTCTTTTCTCTCTCTTTTTTTCTCCGTTTTTCGTT